CGGGTGCCACAGGGTGCCCTGTCTCTAAGTCAGTAGATCCTTCCTCAGAGGAATCTGCCAGGGAGGGGCTGTCGCGAGGAGCATTAGTTGCGGGAACCAGGTCCGAATGGGCCAATACGGAGCCACAAGCAGGACCTGCTCCTCGTCCTCCCTGACCTTGCACAGCATCTGTGCGAGAAGGCTCACTGGGGAAAACGCATACTTGCGCAGGCCCTGCGGCTAGCTGTGTGCCAGTGCATCCGTGCCGAGTGTTCCCAGTAGAATAACTGGCAGTGAGAGGTTTCTGGAGAGGCAAACAGATCTACATGAGTGGCTCCGAAGCGAGTTGCGACATGCGACGGGAGCGCAGACCACCTAGTCGGTTGACGTACGCAATGGTCGCCGTGTTGTCCGTTCGGACCAGCACATGCTTGCCTTGCAAGCGCCCTTTGAGACGGTTCAAGGCAAGGCGCACTGCTAACAACTCCAGGCAATTGATATGCCAGTGCAGTTGAGGGCCCGTCCACAACCCCGACACTACGTGCCCGTTGTACGTGGCCCCCCAGCCGGGGGTGGAGGCATTCATGTAAACCACAGCATGCCTGGATACCTGTTCTAGGGTCACTCCTGCCCGGAGGAAAGCAAGGTCTGACCACGGGGTGAAGGTTTGGCGACAGGCCGGTGTAACATGGACACGGTGAGTGCCACGTTGCCACGCCCAACTTGGGACTCGGCCATGAAGCCAGTGCTGAAGCGGTCTCATGTGAAGCAGCCCCAGCGGTGTAACTGCCGCTGCCATATGCCCCAGGAGCCTCTGAAATAGTTTCAGTGGGACCGCTGTCCTGTCCTTGAATGAATTCAAGCAGTTCAGCACCGACCGTGCACGTTCCTCTGTGAGGCGTGCTGTCCGTTTGACCGAATCCATCTCCATACCGAGAAAAGAGATCCTCTCCCAGGAGAGTTTGCACTTTTCCCAGTTGACCTGAAGGCCCAACCGGCTGAGGTGCGAAAGCACCAAGTCCCTGTGTGCACACAACTGATGCTGAGACTGAGCTAGTATGAGCCAGTCGTTGAGGTAGTTGGGAATATGAATGCCCTGTTCTCTCAGGGGAACAAGGGCTGCCACTGTGAAGACATGGGGCGACAGGGACAGCCCGGAGGGCAGGACCTCGTACTAATATGCTCGTCCTTCGAACGAGAACCGCAGAAATGGTCTGCGGCGCGGAAGGATCGACACATGAAAGTATGTATCCTTCAGGTCGATCGCTGCAAACCAGGCGAACTGAATCGCATAGCCGAGGCTGATGGTCCGCAGAAGCCAACAAGACGGGTTGGGTAGCGCTAGCCAAGCACCCAGATACCGTGCAAGCGGGACCAGCGGAACCACCGTCGTACCCGCAGTGGGGCAGCGAGGTGGAATGCAGGGACCCAACTTGGTCCCTGCATTCCAGGTGGAGAAATCTATTAAAGATGGCGCTCCTGGACCACAAGTGTGGACATCGCACGACCCAGATGGGGGGACCCCCGTATACCACCTAGCTGCACCACCGTCGAGGGTGGTGAGGGAGGAGGAACCAGCAGGTCGGTTTCCGGCAGTAAAAGGTGCCATCCATGACCTGGTGAGCTCCTCATGCACCTCCGGGAAGAAAGGCACCGAGGTGGGGCGCGAGCCACCCCGAGAAACCAATCATCCAACCTCGAGGGCCTGGGTGGATGTTTTCACTTGAGCCCTACCCTCTTGACGGCCCGGGAAAGCATATCGCCGACATCTCTGGATCTGATTCAGGCCTTGCCACCGTCGCGGAGGGTGGCAGCGCAGCCAAATCTTCCTCTCCAGAGAGCTCTCCCTCCGATGCAGTGATCGACATACGGTTGTCGGGAGGAGCACCGAAGGATACCGCTGGTACACTCTTTGAAGAGGGCCCAGCGTGTTCCTTTGGCGGCACAACTGGTTGCGAAGCGCTAGAGGAGCGATGGTCCCCCGAGGGTTGGTTCCCTGAGGGGTTTGCCACCACTGTAACCCTCAGACCGCCCGTG